AGGTTCCAGAGACATGGCCAAAACCCTCCACTTCTTCCACGTCCCCGAAAGGCAAGTCAGCGAGAACAAGAGATGATTACTTCTGCTACAGATGTGGAGAGGACGGCCATATTGCGACAAAATGTCAAGCTCCACCAAACTCGGATTCGTTCTTTGCGGCAAGCTAAGAGTGAGAAGTATGAGACTAATGAACCAAACTCTGATCAAGTCATTCAAAAACTGATTCGTTCTTTGCGGCAAGCTAAGAGTGAGAAGTATGAGACTGATGACAGCAACCGAAAGGCTCAGAACCAAGCCTGTTTCTCAAAAAAGAGTCAGACGGACATCTATGAATCCAGTAGTCTTCCCCAAGGCCTAGTTGGACCGGCATCTACTGTGGAGGTGAAGCTTAATGGACACGTATGTCAAGCCCTGCTAGACACCGGATCACAAGTGACGATTGTGTTTGACAGCTGGTTTTCCAGAAATCTCCCAGATGTGCCCATTCATCCACTCACTGGATTGTCGATATGGGGGCTCAGCTCATCCAGGGTATATAGTTGTCAAAGTCACCTTCCCTGCTTCTGTTGCTGGCGTGGAAGAGTCATTGTCCATTCTGGCCCTCGTATGCCCTGATCCTCAAGGTCCTCCTCAAGTGCCGGTTATCATTGGTACCAATGCCAGTTTCTTTAAACGACTAGCTGCGCTCAGTCAAGGTATGGAGGGATCCAGTGTCGCACGTGCATTGAAAATCCAGACCCGACACACTACTATTCATCTGCCCCAGCTGCGAGAGACTGAGAAACTTCCTGACCAGCCTGAAGGAAAAGTCCGTTGGATAGGACCTGGTGACTGTGGGGTTCCACCCAGAGGGCAAGTACATGCCGTCTGTCAAATGGAGACTGACAAGCCTCTGAGAACTGAGATCTTCATTGTAGACACAGCTGAGGAGGACAGTCTTCCAGCTGGAACATTCATAACCCCTTTAGTACTTCCATCTTCAGCAGTGGAAGGGAAGAATATCCAAGTCCTGATTCATAATGAAACATCTAAGAATATTTCCATTCCTGCAGGAACCGTAGTCGCACAGGTGTATCCCACAGACAC